CTTAATACAAAAATGCAGTATTCCCTACATTTGTATCTCTCTTATAAGGGAAAGAAAAAAACGAAGAGTTACATACTATTCCTTATAGCAAGTAGTAGAAGCTTTATCCTCAAAGATCGACAAGAAAGAGAGATAGATTACGTATTTACAAGTATACATAGTTTTTTTCTTCCATCGCATGTTTGCTTCACGCAAGCTGCTAGACTGAAGGGGTTAGGCTTTCCTGCCTGCCGTGGCTTTAAAGACTCATCAATACAAAAGAAGAAACCGAAAACATAATAAAGAAAGCGAAGCCCCACGCGTACAGTAACCCCAAACACGACCCACCACCAACAGGACAAATCTCCATTAAAAAAATAATCCCATAGCCTTCTCCTCCCTTTCTTCTCCACACCCCGGTCTTCTCTGTCCCAGCACCGAACAGATCATCAGGTATAAACATAGAGGGAAATAAGAGACAAAAAAGAGAAAAAAGAGGCGGAGAAACGCGCGCGCGCCGAAGGTGGCATGAGTACTGGAAGTACAAGCAGCAGCGGAGGGGCCGGAGGAAGCGGCGGAGGTTCCGGAGTTGGTGGCGGAGGAGGCCCGTGCGGTGCGTGCAAGTTTCTTCGAAGAAAGTGCGTCAGCGGCTGTATCTTCGCTCCTTACTTCGACTCGGACCAAGGAGCGGCGCACTTTGCGGCCGTGCACAAGGTGTTCGGTGCTAGCAACGTGTCGAAGCTGCTGCTACACATCCCGGCGCACAAGCGCCTGGATGCGGTGGTCACTATCTGTTTCGAGGCCCAGTCGCGCCTCCGCGACCCCGTTTACGGCTGCGTGGCACACATCTTCGCTCTTCAGCAGCAGGTCAGTAGGTTCTCAGTAAAATTCAGAAAGGAGTATTCTAGATGAGGCAATTGAGTTTATGTCAGTGAGTGAGTGAAGGACAAAGGTTTGATGATAAGAAGCTCATTAGGATATCTGACTAATAGGACAAGATATTAAAAAATGCTTGAAGTAAATTTATTATTTGATATGTTATGGTATATATATAAATGCAATACATTTCTAATTCTGATTTCTGAAAATAGTTTATTTTTAGTTTTTCCCTTTTTTTTAAGCTATAGCTTATACGTGTATATAATAAGATTTGATGAAAATATACTGGCTCTGTTATGAAGAGAATGTTCTCAGTTATATATATACATATATACATATACATATATATAT